AAAACAACTCTAAAAGGAATTTTCTTTTTGAAAAAGGCTATTTTTCCAGATATCTGAAGTTACGTGTTGTCTCTCTGATGTAGGTGAAGTCTTCCAGATGGCATAATATCAACAATTTCAGTAAAAATTAAAAGTCCTGCTATTAAGTATATTTAATTCTGTTTGTATGCTTTTGATTATGTACTGAGTACAAAAAAAAAAATTTACTTCTTGTGATTTTATTCTGATCCTCATTCTGACTTTCCTTGCAGACTTTATCCATTGGAGTACTTGATATTTTTGGGTTTGAAGACTATGAAAATAATAGTTTTGAACAATTCTGCATTAACTTCGCCAATGAGCGCTTGCAGCACTACTTTAACCAACACATCTTTAAACTTGAACAGGTAGGTCTGGAAATATTTACTCACTGATGCCAGTAGGTGTTGACATGCGTTTGTGGCACTGATAAAGTTCTTAAATTGTCCCTTTAATTCTTTTATGTTAAGGAGTGTACACTGAATTATTCAAATTTAACTTCTAATTTACCATATGACTTACTGCTACCTGTAAAATAAAATCAAGCCAGAGATTTACTGAATTTAAATAAACATTTTGGGATACAAGTATCCTCAAACATCATGAAGACCTTAACCATCACTCTTTTGTCTCTTTGGGATATGCTCAGAGGGATCATCCATGAGCAATTTCTTTCTTACCTTTGCCTGGGCTTCTTGCTGTGTCATTAATATCACATAAAAGTTATTTTTTGGCATGGAAGTATCAGCCTAGGAAATTTAGCTGGGGCACAGCAGAGCAAAGTGGGTCTCCCTCCTCACACTGCATCTGAAAGGTCTTGAGACATGAAGCAAAATTTCCAAGGTATGCACTGAGCTCAGAAGAGCCTTCAACACGAACCAGTGCTGGGGTTGTACTGTTCTGTTGTACTGGTCATGAACACAGCTCAGATGAACAGAATCAAATCTGCCTTGTTCCCATCAGCTGTACTGCTCCAGGACAGACAACCCCTCATCACAGAGCTGGCAGCCTTCCTCAAGCACACAAGGCTACGCTGGTAACAGAGCTTTTATCCAATCTCTTATTTTTAAGTCAATACAACCCTGAGTGCAGCTAGAGGCAGAGTTCCCCACTTCTGCCTACTGTGTCATTTCCTCTATCTTCTCCTAAAAGATATTCAAACAGCAACAAGACCCCAATCATGCCTTTGATCCAGTCAATTACCCACACAACTGAAAACCTCATTTTACAGTCACTTAGCCACATCAGCCAAGCCTCAAAAACGTGCTTACACTGCATGTTCTGAACTCCTGTTGAGTTGAGGCATGTTAAGCTTAAGCTATTTTCCATTCAAAATAGGTATCGTTCACCACCTTTTTGTGCTCTGATATACTTGACTGTCCTTGTTACTTAGTGAGGTTTCTTGCTCATATCTGTGTTCGTCTAAACAAAGTCTTATTATGGGCAACAGCTCATCGAGAACATAACTCAGTGAGATTTAGTCACATTAAAGCCCCTGGATCATGTACTGATCAATGGGCACAATAAAAGTTTTCTAGGTCTGTATGACCCCAGTTATTGTAAGTAACTTTTTAACTACCACCATTCTGAAACAACTCACTGAGGAAATCGGCTGTGAAATAAAGCAGCCCTGTCACCTGAAAAAGTGATCCCAACGGTCTATTCCACAAGCCCTCTATGCTCATACCCATTGGAAGGCGTCAGTGTGCTTGACTTACTGGTAAAACTCCCATATTTTCTTTGCATAATACTTGACTTCCTCTTGTGCCATAGTCAGCAAATGTCTGTTGGCCCCAATCCCAGAATATGTTGCCTGAAAAGCTATCGTCAAGGCCTTCAGCAGCTTTCCCAGTGGGTGCAGGGAAGACTTCAATGCCTACATGATAGAGAAAATACTAAATTTTACAAGTCAGCCCTTGCCATTAGTAGAGAATAATAATGAAACACCACCCAACCTTCTCTTGACAGCAAAGGAGAACAAGTCTAGATGTAACCAGCTATAATTTTGGTCAATTTTTGCTGCCACAAGCCTATCCTCCTCCCATTATTAGGCAGAAATGTGCTTAGTAGAATTGTTGTTCTGATGACATTTGCTGTGATATTGAAGAGAGAGCAAAGGCTGCTTCAGGGAAAGGCTGGTTGAGTGAAAAACAATGGCTGAGAGTGCATGGAAGTTTGTTAGACATTTCTAGCAGCTGGTTATTCCCTGACACAGTTTGAGAACCAAGAGTGAAGCTTTATCATCACTTCCTGGCCTGTACAGATGTACATAAAGTAAGTGTCCAAAAAGCTTGAAGGATAACCCTCTTCTACACAAACACAGGTACTCACACGTAATTTAGGGAAGACTCTTGATGTCACTGGCAATGTTATATGTGCTAACTGTGTCCATGGCTGGTGGGCAGACATGGATCATTTTGATTTTAAACTTTACCTTCTCTAAATAACTCTGTAGTGACTCCAGATCCTGGTGCTGGACAAGCTCTTCAAGAATATCTTCTGTCTTCCAGGACACATCCTCAGTCCCCCTGAAAAATGAGAGGTGAGGATGGAAGATCACACAGTGAAGCACTGAGATAAATCCCAAGTGGTACTGCAGGTGGATACCAAGGGTGCAGGTAAGAGTATTAGAACAAATGAATTTTTCTCTACCCTTTTCAATGGAATTGTCCCACTGACTTACAAGACCTGTGATTAACTAAACTCATCACCTTCAGGTCGCCTTACAACCAGCCTCAGTTGCATCCTGCACATGCTCATCTTATCTATTTAAAATATTTTCTTAAAGGGAGGTGTGTTTGCTCTGCATCAGATGATGATGTCATCTAGGAGGACGAAGCAACCACTGGGTCACGTGCAGATGCTTACACTTAATCAAATGAATCCCATCCAACCTTTCTCTTGTAAGAATCAGTCTAAACAGCACAACCTTAAATTCGGACTCAAAATTCATCCTCCGATTTCATAAGCAGCAACAACTGGATAATGCTTGGCTTTATAACTTTAACACATGGCAGACCCTAAAGTAAACCACTATCCTCTCTACACAAATGGGCTCCTCTGTTGCAACAAGGGCAGGCAATACTCATACTTTTGGCAGAAGAGGTACTCCTGAGACTTCCTCAGCTCCTTGCTTGTTTGTATGTGGAACCCTGTGAAAGACTCCTCTGTTTCTTCTTTGCAACCAGAATGGATGAACTCCAGGAACTGGTCATAGATTCCCCTCCATCTCTTCTCCACAGGGAACTCCTCAAGGCCCAGCTGACTGTAAAACATAACATGGCATTATGCTTTTCTGTGTCCCTCCTCAATTATTTCAGACTACCTTCAAATATGAAAGGTTCTCTAGAATCAGATATGAACACAAGAACTATGGGAGCCGAGAAAGATGGCAGTGTCTAACTGCTAATCCAGTGAAAAGCAGCTCAAGGAGATACTTTGGGTGAAGAATAATTCCTGGTTCATGGAACATCTATAATCTGGATCTTTGCTGGTGAAGTGATCACAGGCTTTCTGCTCCACTCATGGATGTTTCTAAATTTAGACTATTTCAAGTGCAACCCTGCAGAAAAGACTGATAGCAAGAAGACAGCTGAGCAACCACCACCAGTAGCTATTGCTGCCTGAACAACACAGGAAACAGGAGCTGTTTCTGCAACACAGATACTCTGCTGGACTGGAAATGTTTTGAAGATGAAAGAAGAGGAAATTAAACTGGATTTTGGGGGAGGAATTCCTCTCAAGGACAAGCAGCTGTCTTTCCCACTGAGACTCAACGATTTGGGTTAAAACAGCTGAACCCAGGCTCTCCACCCTGACAACCAGCACATCCCTTTGTAGGGTTCAGCCCTCAGAGTAAGAGTCTATACCAAAGGATGTGGCCTGATAGCTTCAACTCAGCTGCTCCTGCCCTGCATTTGCACCATTGCCTGCCAAAGCAGCATCACGACCGGTAAAGCTCTAATCCTGGCTCCACATAGAGCACTACCCCCTTCAAGCCCTTCAGAGCTTCTTGAGCTTTCCCACCTCTAGAGTATCAGCTGGTAATATTCATGTAGTACCACAGAGGGACAGGAAAGGAGCAAGTGATGCATTTTAGCAACCCACCTTTGCTTGTATAGCCTCAGACCTGTCTGTGTGTACACATAGAAATGAATGTGTGCGAGCACACATACATGCACAAGTCACTGAAAATATTACGCCTCCATAAGCCTCTCCAGTCTGAGAATGGGAGTATATGGATGGTGGCAGGATGGGAGTAGAATATGTAGTTTCTGCTTCCTATGCAGCATTAAAATTAAATGACAAACTGTGCTCTCTTTTTCTCCTTTCATTGCATATAAACCAGTTTTTAAGATCAACTCTTTCAGGCAAAGGACTGCCTTGGTCCCTGTAGGGTTTGATCCAGTACTCCCCTAGGTAGAGTCAAAATACAAGCCATGACCCAAGAAGTCAGCTGTTGTTGCTCACATTTTGGTTATCCAGTCATCCAGCTGCTCGTTTGAAGTGTTCAGGATGCCGTGCGTCTGAAGGCCTTGGCCCGATTTGTTAGTAAAGGTTCCCTCCAAAATGAAGCCATTGGCAAATGACAGTTTTCCCTGCAATAGAGAAATAAAGGGTTATTCTGCCAAGATCTCATTAGAGAGAGGAAAGAAGCTGGACCGAGATCTCAAAATTCTCTTTTCAACAGAGCCAGCTCCTGAAACGGCGACCAAGAACATCTTCCAGCATGGAGGTGCACATTTTCATCTTCCAAAGCAATACAGTCATTAAGGTGGCAGTCACTGGAGAAAACATGTCCTTGCTATTGAATGACACACATAGGATTCTGGAGGGGAAAGACCGCCACAACTGCAGAGTAAAACATTTACATTATGCTTTACAAATACCCGGTATCTTGAGTTATAAAATTTTCTGGCTTAAATTTGACAATATAGTTATTTCTAACCTAGAGTGAACACACAAAACTTCAATTTCTCCTCTGTTTTTCCTCTGCTTATTAAAAACACAAGCAAGTTTTGGCCTCACAGGTAAGCAGAATCACATGATATTCACCATAAATACTTTCAATATGTTTGCTGCTACCAAGAAAAACCTTAAAGTCTCTTGAGGCAACTACAGAAGACATGCAGTAGCTTGACTCAAAATTAGAAGTTTTAATTAAATCAAATCCAAAGCCAAACAATATAGTAACTAGTGTGGCTTTAACTACAAGCCTGAAGCCCTCACTGCTAATAGCAGGAGGCACTCCATCTTTAAAGAACAGATTTTACAGACTAACCGCTAAAACTAAACATTAATTTTGGAGGAAGCAGCATCTAAGCCCTATAATCAGTTTCTGCAAAACCTACCCCAAGTCTTCTGGCTCAAGAAGATGATGACAAACTCTTCCTCCCATGACAAATGAGTAAATGACAGGGCTCATTTGTAATCATTACCAAGTGTCTATTGTGTCTATTCTGACATCCACTCATTCTGATCTAACCATACACTTCCTGTCAGACTCATCATAGATCTCTGTAACAAGCTGGAGGACTAGTTTTCTCTGCAATGGGGCACTTTATGAGCACTTTGACCAGGTATTTCTGTTAAAGATCAACCACAAAATGTTGAACATGTCAGTGCAGCATCCAGATTACAAAATTAAGCTTCCAAGATCCCTCAGCTATGTTAGCCTCTTGGTTACATTAGTGTAGTGCTGCTACTACAACTCTGCTTGGATTATACATAATTTCGTGTGTTCCCAATCACTACAAAGGCTAAAACGTTTGTTCTAAGAATATAAAAGCATCCCAACAGCGGCCATGAGGCACAGCCAAAAAACGTCACACAGAAAAACAAAAAAACCCCAAACCCTCAAAGTAAACAAAATAGTAAAAATCAAAACAATGCACAAAGCCCCCAGCTACTTGAAGTCTCTCAGCTGCATCCTTTCTTCTGTGAATGGGACCGATAATAGAAAAAACCAAAACCAAACAAAATACCAAACAAATGGAAAAAAATAACCCAAACCACAACCACCAAAACCCATGAAAATGTTCTCTTTAGGGGGACTGAAGGAAGTAGAGTGGCAGGGTGTGAACTTTGACGATTAATCCATCAACCCTGTGGAAAGCAAGCAACTCTATAGAAAGGCTGAGATGAAGGAAGTGCTCACCTTTCCAACAAATGTTAGATCTTCTGTGAAGTTCCCTTCATAGACAGAGTCATCTTCCAAGAGCAGAATCCCAGAACCCTTCGTTTGAAAGCAGAAGTAGTGAATTTATTACATTAGCTTCCTATCTGCTCAAATTAATCTAGAAATAGCCTGGCTTGGACTATTTATGGGCTGCAGGCTCAGAATCTTTCTGAAAGCCCAACATGTCACTGCAATGCTCAAGAGAAAAACAAGGAGATACTCTAGAGATAACCCATTAGGCATCACTGCACACAGAAGTCCTGGGTAGTTAAGGAGGTTTTAAACAACAGTACTACTGCATTTATTTCCCTAGAAGAAGCAACAAAAGGCAGGTTCCTGTTCTAAGAACAGTCACCAAGAATTGCCATACGGGTCAAGTTCCTGGTCCTCCCAATCCTATGACCTTTAGGTGACTGTAGGCAATTGTGTCGTCGTTTTAAAGATAAGAAAAAAGAGAAAGGCAGCTGCTATGTAGAACTAGCTTATTCCCTTGCTGTGCAGTCAACAGGGCTTTAATGAGCTGCTCCTAAGCGTTCATTAAATGACTTGTCCCATTATCTCCCAACTCCCTTGGCTGCTTACAGTAGTTGCACATTTCAGGGAAGGAGCACCAAGAAGCAGAACAGACATTGGATAACTCAGAGAATCACAGAATCGTCTAGGCTGGAAAAGACCTTGAAGATCATCCAGTCCAACCATTGACTTAACATTGACCATTCCCAACTACACAATATCCCTCTAAGCGCTATGTTGACTCTACTCTTAACCACCTCCAGGGATGGGGATTCCACCACCTCCCTGGGCAGCCCATTCCAACACCCAACAATAGGTTCTGTAAAGAAATGCTTCCTGACATCTAGTCTAAACCCTCCCTGGCACAATTTGAGGGCATTCTCTCTTGTCCTGTTGCTTACTACTTGGTTCAAGAGACTCATCCCCCCTCTCTGCACCCTCCTGGCAGGGAGTTGCAGAGGGCCAGGAGGTCTCCCCTCAGCCTCCTCTTCTCCAGACTGAACCCCTCCAGTTCCCTCAGCTGCTCCCATCAGACCTGTGCTCCAGACCCTGCACCAGCTCCGTTGCCCTTCTCTGGACACGCTCGAGTCATTCAATGGCCTTTTTGGGGTGAGGGGCCCAAAACTGAACCCACTCATCGAGGGGCGGCCTCACCCGTGCCGAGCACAGGGCTCAGATCCCTTCCCTGTCCCTGCTGGCCACGCTGGTGCTGACACAAGCCAGGATGCCATTGGCCTTCTTGGCCCCCTGGGCACACTGCTGGCTCATTATCAATCCCCCCCCCCCC